CCTTTGTGAGAATTTGACTCTTTATTTTGAGACTTACCTAAGATGTTTGAGATGTGCTGGAGGGGACAGGAAGAGGAAACTATTGGCCAACTGATAGGCCTTGAGAGAGGGAAGGTGTCTTTGCTTCTAAAATCTGGAGTCACCTTCATTTGTTTGCTGAGTCCTAACACAAACTCTCAATCCATGATTCTCTTGGGACATCTGATGAGCTCAGCATAGGTCCCTTGGGGAGTTCTGTAACATCATCTTTTCCTGGCAGAAGGTGGTACCTTGAAATTTCTGGTGTTTCTACAATAAACTTTTATGTGATCTCAAACTGCTGTTTGGTTAGGAGATGAGTTATTTCTCCTTTAGTTTCTGCAGGCCTCCGAAATTATTCATATTTTGGACGTAAATTTTATTATTTTTTTATTGTGTAAGTAATACACAATCTTGAAAAACCTTGCAGACATAATCTTACTGAACCTTAAAGTGACTAATCATTCAAAAGTCAGATGCACATTTGACAGGCATTTATTTAGCTCCTACTGTGTGGTAGCCAGAGCCCTAAGCACTGGGAATATGATGGTAAATGAATACATGTCTAAATCTGAAAGACACTGACACCTCAAATGATATAGGGGAGGGGAAAATTCAGTGGGAGGAGAAATCAGCGCATGCGCCCCAATGGGCCTCCTAACTTGAGGATAGGAGCAGGGCTTATCTTGTGGACACAGGCAGACCCAACACAACAGGAGCAATGAGACCTTCAGCAGGTGTCAATGCTGGGGAAGGGAAGTCCCAACAGGTTCTTGGAGGGCTGGAAAGTGGAGCAGGGCTGGGGAACAGAGTTGAGGCAGGTGTGGGCAGGGAGTAAGAGAATGGCCCTTCAAACATTCTGTTCAGAGACTCAAAAGAGTCAGAAGAGACAGCTACACAGGAGAAACAGCTGGGTAGATGAGAGGCTGAGTCCCTTAAGCCAGTGGGGTCATGAGCATGGGCATCTTTCATCAATGCCCCTGAGGGAAGCAGAGATGCAGAAATTTAAGAATAGAGCAAGTTAAGCTATCATCTCATCCTATGTGATATTTCTGAGTCCATGCAAAGAAGTCACATAAAAGATTTGACCTACTTTCTCATTCCCCGAAGGAGTACAGATGGAACTTGGATATGAGATTCACTCATACACGACTGCAACTCAGATTGATAAAACATTGTGTTCTTAGGCACACCCTTACATTCTCTCTGAGAAGTTTCCCGGCCCTTCACCTGTCTTGGTGGCAGGCCTATGTTGAGGGGTGGGGCAGGAAAGGGAAAGGTCAGCAGAGGGGCTGCCTGAAGGGAAGGACAGAAGGAGCAGACCGATGCAATTTCTACACTTGAAATCAAAGACCAAGAGCATGAGGACAATGATGGGAAGACAGGGATAAACAGCAGTAGGTGTAAACATGATTTAAAGTGTTCGTTCAGCTGACAGTGACAACACATGAGCCAAAAGGGTGTGGTGGCTGCTGGGAACAGGCATGGGGACCAGGAAGAGAATACAGAGACTGCTTTGGCTCTTCTGTAGTTAGACACTCTGAGGGCATTACTAAATAGGAGCCCATCTGGAGGACAGTGGCCAGGATGGTGGTGGTGGTGAATCAGGCTACATGAAGTCGGTGGAAGGCCCTGGAGAAGAGCAGTCTTTGGGGGAGATGAAATGGCTAACAGCCAAGATATGAAGAGCTTCTCTAGCAAAGAGGGGTTGACCCCAGCTGATGGGAACTACAAAAGATTTGGTGCAATATAAGAAGCATCTTTTATTGGTCCTGAGATGAGAGAGGCCATGCGAGGGGTTAGCACATTTCAAGCAGAGGTTGGCTAACCATTCGGCAGGAGGTTGAGGGAGAAAGTGAAGGATAGGTGGGGATATATAGGGCAGCATTTCACCTCTTTGATGCCTTAAGAATTCATATGATGACGCCTGATTAAAAAAAAGGAAAAAACGGAATTCTACTCTCTATTTTATATTTGGGAAGATTAAGATCAGATGTCAGGGAAGGATCAAGTCATGGAAAGGCCAAAGGCACTAGTCAGGATAGTAAAATGAACCCATGTTTTCTGGCACCACTAGAACTATTAAAGGGTGTGGATTTGATTACCCCTGGATTATATCTGTGTGTATGATGTTTATAGGGAATCTAAGTTGGCTCTGGGAAAAAATTTAAGGGCAAGGCCAACCGGAGGTCATTTTTCCCAACCTTCTTCTGAGTAGGAACTCGGATTATTCCAGAAAACATAGACCTGCCTTTTCTCTTCAGAAGACTTGACCATCTCAATCATGATCAAGAAGGAGGGAATCATGTGTCTGAAATCTAAGAATATTGGAACAGAGATTCCACAGTGCAGGGGCAAGAGAAATGAAGGCCAAGGAAAGAGGAATTAATCAAGGAGGATCTCAGAGTCTAAATGACAAGTCTTGATGTGATATTCTGAGTCTGAGCAATGGGGACCAGCACTAAGACAGCAGAAGAATTCCTGGGACAAATAGTATTCTGTTACAGACAAGGAGAAATCTCATTGGGAGCAAAGAGCAATTAATTCTTTAGCCCTTAACCATATATAAAATGCTCTCACATGCATTATCTCACAATACATGATTCTCATTGGCCCTGGGAGAGCGCTGAGGAGACCATATGTGGGGGTTCTGTGGTCCTTCTAGGGACTATGGAGCACTCCATACCTGCTTCTGATTAGTGCTATTCCCACAAGGCAGATACTCAGAGGGAGACCAAGCAGGCCCATCCATTAATCAACAGAGGGGCAGCAGGAGGGAACATGGCATTCAGGCATCAGGACTCCCAGGGAACGTTAGTCAGCTGCCCCTCCCTCTCAGAGGCATGGCAGGGCGGGGTGCTCTGGGAATCTAAATTTAATTCCACCAGTTTTTCATCTATATAGATTTCGATCTGGAGACATGGTAAACAGGAAGAGCAACCATTGGCTTAATAAAATTCCAACTCTGTCTGACCTAGGACAAAGTGTGGCTTTCTGGGCTGGGAAAGTCCTTGGTCTAAGGAAGTCTCTTAAGCATGTCACCTCATCTTCAATTACTGGCCAATTGGCTCAGGATGTGTCTTCAAATTTATGAGTTGTGTGCTTCGACAGACAAGCTCAGTGTAGCCCCCATGATTTTGTTGGATCTGATACCTTGGTTTTATCAGCTTTCTGATCAGTCCAGAGAACTGTATGTCTTTGGGTTGATCCATGCTCTGTTATGAGGCTGAGCTGGGAACTTGGGATATTGGGAGGTTCTTGAGCACGGACGGTCAGTTCTGAATATGCCAGGGCCAGGTCTCAAAGACTTGTGGAGGGCTCTAAGAGTGTGGCCCAGCTTCCATACCTGTCCCAGTGTGCTTAGCCCTGGGGATAATCCCCAACCTGCAGAGCAGGCATTCCATAGTGGGAGTAGTTTCCATTCTAGCTTCACTTCCTTCTGCTTCAGGTGAGCTCAGCATTCCTTCCTGTATGTGATGGGCTCCTAGCTTCCCTGGTGCAGATTTATGGAGCCCCGAAGGCTTTCTCCCACAAGATGGCCTCCTTTCAAGACACTGAACTTCCTCTCTGGGTCCTTCCATGGTTTCTAGTGAAACGGGGGCTTGTTCTTAAACTTTTGTTAAAGAACAAAAGTTTGATCATCGATTGTTAGATCATCTCTGGGTCTATCCAAGTGCGAGGGTAAAAAAGAATCCCTCCTCCTCTCTCTCTGTTATCTATCACACGAGGAAAATTAGGCTCAGAGAGGGTAAATGGTCTGCCTAGGGTTGCACAGCTACAAATTTGCAGTCAGGAGTGGGGTCTAGGCTGGATGACACCATACCTCAAAGTAAGACAAACTGTACCTCCGTTTTCTACATGCTTATCTGTGGCTTCCTCCTTTCTGGCCTCTACTCTGCTCTAGCACTGCTAGTGAGTGACTTCTGGAGGCCTCTTCCTTTGCTATCTGTCCTAAATAGGCTGCCCCTAGCTCTGCACCTCTCCCTTCTTCCTACGCTGGCTGCCAGCTTTCAAGATCTTACCCCGCCTCCCCATTGTTTGTGATTTTCCTTTACGCCTCCAAGGTTTTAGCTCTCCTCACTCCCCTGAAATCTCTTTCTCCCACGTTCTTGGTGGAGTCCCGCAGGGCTGGGTGGCTTGTCATTGCATGATTTTCTTTAATTCTTTTCTCAGTACCATCCCTCAAAAAGCTCTCAAAACCTCACCACACCTGCCCTTGTCCCTGCTGTGGCCTGACTGTGGCAGCCCCATCTCCATGATCAATTCTGGAGGTGTGTGTGTAGGTCCTTGGGGTTGGAGGTACACTGGCTCTCTGTTATCCATCACTGATAGGGATACCTCTCAAGTGCAGGGGACCATGTGGAAGGCTGGTGAAAGACGGAGCACTGGGAGAGCCCTCAAAGATATGGAGGACTTATCTTTGTAAGTTTTAAAAACTTACAGAGCGTCTACGGCCATGCCACCCTGAACATGCCCGATCCTGTCTGATCTCGGAAGCTAAGCAGGGTCGGGCCTGGTTAGTACATGGATGGGAGACCACCTAGGAAGACCAGGTGTGGTAGGTGTTAAAAAAAAAAAACCTTACAGAGCAATCGAGGGACTGGCAAACACACACACACACACACACACACACACACACGCACATGCACAGATGTGAAAATGAGCCGATTGATAGATAAGTATGCACTTGAATTTGGCACAACTGAAATTAGAAAAAGAAACCAGTAGAGCAACTGAGTGGTGTTAATCAAGGAAAACTCCCTGGAGGAGACAGCCTGTTCACTGCCTGGTAAAGCAGAGATGTAGGTATTTGCCCTCAACGCCTGACAAACCAAAACCAGATTCTGGCCCAAATGCTCAGGAATTGAAACTTTAGCTGCCCCAGAGCTAGGTTGTAACCTAGGTAAGAGTTTGAAGAGAGTTGCCAAGGCAATTAGAAGGGAGTTGCCAAGGCAACTGGAAGGCCTTTCAGAGAATAGAAGAGGAGAAGTTGGCTTGGAGAGGAACAGAGAAAAAGGGAAGAAGAGGACTGAACAGTCTCATCAAAGCATGGGAGTGAAAAAGTCAAGGTGTAAGACTTGGTGAGAGAGTGATCATGAAAGATGTAAGTGATGCAGGTAGTGGAACAGACCGATGACAAGAGAATGCGCATGGGAGGAAGACAGGCACGCGCTGGGAGTTTGACAAGCTTGGCTTGTCAGTTATCACCTGGGGGAAACTGGGCACCTATTTATGAACCTAAGATGGCTTTTCTTTAAAATGGGGTTAATAACTACCACTTTGTTAACTTTTTGTGATGTTTAAATGACTTTTAGCTCCTTGAACGTGGTTGTTGCCTATAGATAATGCCTCTTTGCTCTTTTATTTTGCATGTTATTTTGCCTTTATTTTATAAATTCAGAGTACACAAATAAGCCAAGAATAAGAGTGTGTGGTTAACACTTTTCTCCTATTTTAATATCACCACACACCCTGCATGTCCTGGAGACAGCACAGGATGTGATGAGCTTGGTATTTTCAGGCCTATTGGGCTGCCTCAAAAGTAACTAGTGGAATGAGAATAGAAGTTTGATTCAGGAATTGGAGGATTCTCAAGCATTGATTGTGTGATTTGAAGATATTTTTTGACTTCCTTTGGTCTGCCATCTCACTTCTTTGATAGGCAGGTGGGAATTTTCTGTGATTCTCTGTGTACTTATTTATGGGAACCAGTTCTAGTTGCCTGTCTTTGAGCCTCTTCTCTTCTCCAGTTTGGGAGGAAGAACACTTGAATTGAAATCAGAAAACTCAGGTTTTAGTCCCAGATGAGTCTTTTCCTAGCTGGAGTGTTTAAGCAAGTCGTTTAATCTCTCTGATCTTCAGTTTTCTGTTTTGTAAAATGGGTTGAAAACAGCTTGACTGCTTAGTTCTCAGGGCTCTTGTCGGGATAGTGTTCGTGCATGTTTTTGGTGAGCTGAACTATGCAAATGTATGCCTTCTTGTTCCTTCTAGTTCTTGTGTCTCTTCCTCCTCATGGTAGCAACAAGAGTAAGTCTTGCAGCTCTGTAAATTGTCTATTTATTACCTGACCATCCACCTCTTTGATTTTTCTCTTGATCAATTTCTTAGTTTGAGGATGGAAGCACAAATCACTGCAAAGATCTGTTGTTGGCTGGCAGAGGTGAGAGAACGAATACACACATGCACGCACATACACATGCATACATATATGCACACCTGTCCAAAAAGCTAGAAGGAATCAATTGGGAAGAGTGATATTTCTCATGAGGGAGTATGCTGATCTAGAAGATGATTTGGCAATAGTCATTACCACACCAAGACCATCCCAGGTTCCATTGTTCCTAGTCAGAAACAAGATCTGAATTACTCATTCCCTATAGAGATGGTTGGTTTAGCAGCCCAAGGATGTTGGTGTTAAGACAGTTTCAGACAACAATGCCATGGAGATGGCAGGGAAGGAGAGGAGCAGTGGAGAAGTGAGGAGCACTTTCTGAAAGAGGGTGTACAGCAAAAACTGTGAGAGAAGAAGAGGGACAAGTCTCAGTGGCTGGAGAGGGCTGACACTTATTTGTCTTGGTTCAGAAGCCAGGCGACAGGACCAGATAGTCTCCACAGACTGTCCTTCTCCTTCATATTTTGTATTCCACAGTGGAGATCACCCACACAGGACTATGATTTACCACTTAAAGATGCTTGGAGCTAGCTGAAGCTAGCTCTGGCTTCTCTTCACTGAGTCTTCAATTCTGTGTTTATATGCAAGTGTGAGGAGCATGCCAGGCTTCTAAGAAGTCTCAGAATAAACATCTCAATGCCACTACTTCGCATTAAGATTGATCAAGTGCTATTCTCCAGGAAGGCTCCTGGGGTTTCCTGGCCTTTCACATTGTATGCTGGGTAATTTTGCATCTGAATGGAAGCATAATCTCCCCATGAGCTCTGCACCTCCAATCTCCCCTCTAAGAGCAAATCAAAGAAACATTTTCCAAGCACTTGCATGTGTCTGGAGCCAAGGATTCAAAGGAATAAAATGGACCTTCTGCCTTTGATTTCTCTGCAGTGGGACAACTTCTTACGCTGTCTGGCTTTACACAGAGTGGCAGCACACTCCGAATTTAGTTGCTGTACTGTCATATACAACATGCTAGTTTGGATTTTGCACACTGTAGCTCAGCATCCATGGTTCAAATCTCAGCCACACCACTCACCATCTAGGTAAACATGGGCAGGCTATTCAAACTCTGTGCCTCAGTTTCCTCATTTAAAAAATGGGTAGCATAATAGCATCTATCTCAAAGTTGTGAAAAGTAGGTAAATTAATACCTATAAAATATGCAGAACAATGCCTGGTACATGGTCAGTTTTTGATATGTTAGTTATTGTTATTATTATTATTATTATTATTACGATTACTATTACTGTTACTATCGCCATTACTCTTGTCCAGAAATAATTTTAGCTTCTCAAATTAGGCTTTCCAGACTCCCTTCCAAATCTACATTCATCTCTCTTAATAGTCTAGTATGAGTCTTGAACCACCTGTCAAGTCTTACCTCCACCCCTTTGCTTTACAAAATGTATGAAATAGCTTCTACCTGTTCATCCCAATTCTCTATGTGCTTTCTCAACGGGCATTTGCATGCTTTTGTTTGTACCTGTTTTCCGTTGCTGGTGTCTCTGTCTTCTGCCCTGGTCCATCTTGGAGGAAAAGGAGGAACTGGAAAACTTAGAAAAGAACACGTCTTTCCCTTCTGGTCTTTCCAGATCACTTACCAATCTATCCTGTTTGAGGACAGCTTCTCTTCCTCTAATAGTAATACAGTGTATTTATAAAGCTAACATTTAATAAAAATAACTTCTTTTGATTGTTCATGTATTAAAGCTCTGACTTCATGTCAGGAGGTAAAACTTGGTGAGCTCTAGAGTTTGGAGGGCTGATCTCAGAAATGGGCTAAAGAGCTCCTGAGATTCAAGCTTGGGGAACTGCATCTGCCATGCCCAAGGAGAGAGAGTCTTAGTAGCTTACAAGGGCAAGGCAAGAATGGAAACTTGCATATCTTTGTGACAAGTAGTTATGAAATCTTATCAAGAAGCACCAGATGGTAGATGTGGGGTCCTACTTTCCCAAAGTCGCAAGCACTTGAAGAGAGATTTTGTCTGATAATATGATTACCACACTAACGATTTTGCATGCACAGCAATTTTGAGAACCATCCTGGCAGCAAGGTGTGTAGTGTTATTGTAACTCATAAAAATCTTGTATGCCTGCAGGCAAGCCAAACCTGCATCCCGCTGACTCTGGGACCAAGCCCAATCCCTCCCTTTATATAAGGGGAAGTCTCTGTGCTTGGGGTAGAGGAGTGTTAGCTCCTTTCCTTCTCTACTTTGCTCCTATTCTTTCTAAGTCAACATGAGTCGACCCTTTAGTTCCAGGTCTGGGTACCGGAGTGGAAGAAACTTCAGCTCTGGGTCTGCCGGGGTGGTCAGCTTACAGCGCAGGACCACTAGCAGCAGCGTGCGCTCTAGTGGAGGAGGTGGCGGGAGATTTTCAGGTGGAAGATGTGGTGGGGGTGCTGGTGGTGGCTTTGGAAGTCGGAGTCTCGTCAACCTTGGTGGCAGTAAAAGCATTTCCATCAGCGTGGCTAGAGGAGGTGGACGGAGTGGTTTTGGTGGTGGTTATTACGCCGGTGGCTTTGGGGGTGGTGGTTTTGGTGGTGGTGGCTTTGGGGGTGGTTTTGGCAGTGGTGGTTTGGGTGGTGGCTTTGGAAGTAAGGGTGGTTTTGGTGCAGGTGGTTTGGTTGGAGGAGGTTTTGGGGGTGGTTTTGGGCCTGTCTGCCCCCCCGGTGGCATACAGGAAGTCACTATCAACCAGAGCCTTCTGCAACCCCTTCATGTGGAGATTGACCCTGAGATCCAAAAAATAAAGTCTCAAGAAAGGGAGCAGATCAAATCGCTCAACAACCAATTTGCCTCCTTCATTGACAAGGTGAGTTTATCTACTCAGTGCATCGGGAGAGCTTCCCCTGGTCCATTCGAGATTGACACAGCCAAGACATATTTTGAGTTTGAGCCTCAACTTTTGGCTTGCAGATGATTAAAAGGGTATTTTGTGGAATTGTCTTATAGAAGATATGTTAAAAGTATGTTTGTAAGCGATGCTAATGACTAAAATTTCTCGGACAAAGAGGTCTGTAGTCTATAAAAATGTGCTAATTTGACATCACTTTGATGTGTTTTTCTGTTAAGCATTTTATTTTATTATTAGTTTAAAAACCTTGACAAGTTTTTTTTTTTTTTTTAGTTCAGCTCTTGAGCTGAATTGGGACTCGCATATGTTGAATGAACATGTCAGAAATGGGGCTACCTCAACCTTCTAGGGTGCAAATGAGAAGGACCCCAAATGCCCTGGGAAGGTCTTTCTAACTGTAAAAAGGGAGTTGAGTGTAAACAGAGTGCTATGGATATTGTAGTGGAAAGTATACAGTCATTGCCAAACATCTGTTGCCTGCCCTCTGAGAATTTTACATTGTTACCAGATCAGCATTGAGTTTTTTTTTTATACTTGGATTTCCAAGTATCAGCTCTAGAAAAATATGTAAATCATTTTTTACTTTTTGCTTAATCATAAATAATGTCAACTCGAGTTATTCACAATAGATATGGAATTCAATTTTGGATTTCCCCAATATACTTTTGAACTGTGTGTACGCTCAGAGAATGCAAACCAATTTTTATGGTAATCTACCTAAAAAAAAAGGAAAATAAATCTCTTAAGTGTCATGTATCTATTTCAAAGTGTAATTGCACTAATTTTTTGTGCTTTGCTATTTAGTTTTTGTGTAACTACCCTCCTAAAGTTCTAACTGAAATAGTACTATAATTGCCATTCATAGGGAAAGTAAAACTTTACTGAATTAACAGTGAGTTGGGTTTTGTTATGAAAATGATGTTAACTTGATTGTCTTCTTCCTATTTTTGTGTTTGTTATGGCCAGAAAAACAGGAATTGAAGTTCTTTTCGAAGTGAGGTATGGGTATTGCAGTGTGGTAACCCTGGTGCTCAGTGGACGAAGAATTCCACTTCTGCACCAGTGGATGATGAGCCTTGTGTTTTTAGGTGAGGTTCCTGGAGCAGCAGAACCAGGTGCTGCAAACAAAATGGGAGCTGTTGCAGCAGATGGATACCTCCACTAGGACCCAGAACTTAGAGCCCTACTTTGAGTCATACATCAACAATCTTAGAAAGAGATTGGACCAACTGAAGAGTGACCAGTCTCGGATGAATTCGGAATTGAAGAACATGCAAGACTTGGTGGAAGATTACCGGAACAAGTAAGGAAAACGGGCTGGGCAATTCCCAACTTTTGTTCTAAAATATTTCCAGAAAGTGGCAAGCTAAGACTATGAACAATGCATAACAATGGCTTGTCTTAAGTTATAGGCAAATCAATTTGGCATTTTCAGAAATCTTCTGTCTTAGAAGTTGGAAACAGTTTAATGGTTTTATTGCTCAGAAGAAAGGGGTGGTCAAGGTGTCCTAGGCTAGTAATAGAAAAGCAATAACAGGCCATGCCAATTTTAGTCTAGAAAGTGGAACTTCGGGCCTCGCCTTCTCTGAATTCACTTCTGATTTCTTTTCAGGTATGAGGAAGAGATCAACAAACGGACAAATGCAGAGAATGAATTTGTGACCATCAAGAAGGTGAGTAAATTCTATAGGATGGACCTGCAATAAATAATAAAAGAGGATCTCCAATTACTAAGCAGAAATAAGTCACGATGTGGAGAACCAGGGCCTGATGAATAGCTGAAGTAGTTACGGGCCTCGCTCTCTGAATTCACTTCTGATTTCTTTTCAGGTATGAGGAAGAGATCAACAAACGGACAAATGCAGAGAATGAATTTGTGACCATCAAGAAGGTGAGTAAATTCTATAGGATGGACCTGCAATAAATAATATAAAAGGATCTCCAATTACTAAGCAGAAATAAGTCACGATGTGGAGAACCAGGGCCTGATGAATAGCTGAAGTAGTTTTTTCC